ATTGCGGACTATTTGTTTGCCTGTCCGACGGTATTGTTTGGACAATATTTGGCCAAATATTCAAACTTTTCAGTTAATGTACACCAAAATTACTACCAATACATCTACAGTCAATCGGTCTGCTATAACAGCACGTGGTGTTATGGGGCCACACATGGGGATGATGTTTGGTTAGTATTTGGTTTCCCATATTTTGCGCCTAATTATTCCGACACCGATCGATATATGAGCGCTCTTATGATGAATATATGGACTACTTTTGCTAAGACTGGGTAAAGTATACTTTTGCTATATTATCTAGATAATACAATCTTTTTGAATTGTAAGTCGTTAGTTGTGTAAACTTAGTCGTGGTTTGCAAAAACTAAGTCATTCTCTCAATGCTTACAACGACTTACACTCTAAATCTGTAGACTGTATCTAAACTATACTACATGTATATTATAATAAATATATTAATATTTATCTTCTTATATTTTGCAGTACTGTTCCGCCGGTGAATAACAGAAAATGGTTGCCATACACGCCACTAGATTATAATGATGTTAGTATAAATTTTATGCTACTCACATCTGATTTACAAGAACTGGGAAAAGTATTTACCAATAGATATATAGGAAATAATGGCTTTAATCCACCAGTTATTCAAAATTGTAAAAACGTTTGGAATCGACTAATTATTAATTCATTTAATTCTAACTGTTGTAATTATCCAAAGGACTAAAGTGTTTAAATAAATGTAATGAACAATGATAATTTTTATATTATTTAAAATTGAAATTATTTAAGAGTATTATTTTATTTGATATATTTCTGAACAATTTTGCGATTATTACGGACTATAATCAATAATTATTAATGGTGTAATTTTATTGTATTAATAAATCATTTATAATGACTTTCTTATTTTGAATAAATAATTATACAATATTTATAAAGAACACTATATTATAGCTTAAAATGTTTTAAAGGGTAACATATTTTTACATATTATATATTTTGTTGATTTAACCCTTATTACATGATTCAAATTACTCTTTAATCACCAGTTTTATATCCCTAACCGCTTCAAATATTTGAATATGTTTTGTGCCATGCTTACTAATAAGTTATTATTAGTAATAACATTGACATTATATACACTGCATTTGCAGTATCATTGACCTTAAATTTAATTCACCTTATACATTAATTGTCTTTAGGTAATATGATTAGTAAAGCCTCTATTTTTCGGGAATAAAAACTCACAAAACTAAATATGTAAATAAAATTGTAAAGTATTTTTATTATTTTAAAATGTGTTATAAATTGAATTAAAGTGAATTTCATAATATTAATCCGTAAATAAGTAATAAATTATTGTTTCAAATTTTAATATTGTATAAATCCTAATAATTTACATTAGTTGAAATATTATTGATAATAAAATACACTCTTATTATAACTATAATAAGTTATTATTAATAACTACAAAAACTAATATAACTAATATAATTATTAAAACATGTTCATATTTAGAGAATAATATTAATTAAATTAGAGATTTAAATATTTGTTAATCACTTTATAAAATACATTCTTGATTAAAATATACAAAATTCATCATTAGTTTAAATAGAAATTGAGTTTGTTAGAAAAATTCGACATAAAAGTAAGTTTTAAAGAGTTTTGAAAAATGTTCAAAAATCGGAAAAATTGGTGAAAATATAGATATATTTTGTAGCCATTATAATCCTCTTAGGTTCTTATTCTCCTACATTTAAATGATTAAATTTATTTGGGAATTCCCGAAAAATTAAGGTTTTATTATTGTGACAGCTGTCTATCAAAACATTTACAAAGTTACATTACAACTATATTTTAGCTAGAAGTTCTTAGTTTATGTTATCATGCTAAAATATATTAGTAACATAAATTTTGTTTTTATATTGAGCATTTAATAATATTTCATTTATTAGATTGTGTTATTTAAATTTATTAAAATGTTTTGTTTATTAAATCAAATTTGCAATAGTAAAATATTAATTATTGTGTTAATATATATTTTACAAGAAAATCAAATCAATTGTGGTATAAAAAATAAATGACACATATTTCAACTTTGTATTAGATAATTATTAACAAGATAATTAATTCAAAAATAGCTCCAACTGTACGGTTAGGGAATTTTACTTTTAATGGGATCATATCAAACATATCAACACAAAGTCTTAATAACGCCCAACCAAATGCCACGATTCCTATTAATATATTCAAGGTAATTATTTTTAAAAATAGTACTTAATTATCATTCTAATAAGTAATTAATATTTAGGGCATACCATACGCCACACCCCCAGTGGGAGACTTGCGATTTAGGCCAACAGTCCCTATAAGTTACTCACAAATGAAAACCATAAACGCCACACAATTTACTAATGGTTGTCCACAACTGGGAAATATCCTCTATGCAAACGAGGACTGTCTGTATTTAAATATATTTACGCCAACTATTGATGTAAATGCAAATCTACCGGTCATGTTATGGATATTACCAGGAGCGTTTGTTGGCAATATACCGACCCCTGTGGCCAGTAACTTTGATGGCCAACAGTTGGCTATAAGAGGTGTAGTGGTCGTCACCATTGACTTCAGGTCATTAGTGTTTGGCTATCTGTGCACCGATAGGCCGGACGCACCCGGAAATGTTGGTCAATGGGATCAGACGATGGCATTGAATTGGACGCAACAATATATCAGACAATTTGGTGGAAATCCTAATGATATTACACTATTTGGAGAGAGTTCCGGCAGTATTTGCGTTAGCGCTAATATATTATCCAAAGTATCTAATGTTTATTTTAATAAAGCAATTCTTGAATCGGGTAAGAATTTTAATATATTTTATTACACTTTCAATAGTATTAAATTTAATGCAAAATTATATATAAAATAAATTTAATTTATGTCTAATCTAATCATTACCTACAGGTACAATATTTAGCAATGAAATTGGTTCAAGATCAATAAACACAGTGATAGCTCAAAGATTTGCCAAATTCATGGGCTGTAATCCAAACATGGATTATGTGGGATGTCTTCGTAATAAGTCTACGGCTGAATTGATTGGCGGACAAGTGTTGGCAAACCAGTGGAATGTTGGCCAAGGAGTGGGAATTCAACTATTTAACGATTTATTCCCGTTTTCCATTTGTTATGGCGACCAATATTTTCCCACTAATCCGTTGGCATTACTAAAGGCACGCACTTTTCGTCCGGACCTAAAAGTGTTGTCCGGACATAATATTATTGAAGGAGCGTTTGTCGGACTCTCCATTAATTTAGTGGCATTCGTAGGGGGACTGTATGTGCCGACAGTGCCCTACGCCCTGACGTCCAAACAAAACGCTTACAATAATTTAATGACAATATTTGCGAACATGTCTTTCGCCGATAGTGTGGCCAAAAGCTATACTCAAACATTTACGGATTGGTATAATATGCTTGACACAAATGCTTTGCGGGCGACTGTTGTTCAAGCGCTATCCGATTATAGATACGTCTGTCCGACGGTATTGTTTGGGCAATATTTGGCACAATATTCCCAATTCTCTGTTAGTGTACACCAATATTACCTCCAATACGCCAACAGTAAATCGATGTGTTATGACAGCACGTGGTGTTATGGGGCCGAACACACCGATGATGTACCGTTAGTTTGGGGCCAACCCTTTTATGTGTCTGGTTATACAGATACAGATAAGTATATTAGCACTATTATGATGAACATATGGACAACTTTTGCCAGAATAGGGTATTTATTACTATTAAACGTATTTTTGTTTAATGCAATTAAAATTTTTATGTAAATTTTTATAGTACTGTTCCGTCAGTAAATGACAATCAATGGTTGCCATACTCACCACTAACTAATGGAAATGTTAGTTTAAATTATATGCTATTAACATCTGATTTGCAACAATTGGGAAAACAGTTTTTGGATAAATATATTGGAAATAATGGTTTAAATCCACCCGTTATTCAAAATTGTAAAAACTTTTGGAACCAAATAATTGTTAATTCATTTCAATAACCTATTTACAATTTAATAATTTTAATTATATAATTTATATTAATCTTTAATTGACTGCTAAATTGATAAATGTATTTGTAAAATTTATTAAAAATAATATAACTAAATAATACACTAAATGTACACTAAAATTGTTTATTAAAAATAATTAAAATGTGAAGCATTTTAAATGTATTGTATTATTTTTATAGATTTTTGCAAAATATTTATTAATTAGACACGAATTCGACAATTAAAATATAAATAAATATTGTTATAGTTATAAATATTAATAATAAACATTAAAATTAATTAATGTTAAATTTTAATATACTTTACATTTAAAGAATTAAAGATTTTTTTCTTTGAACATGTGGTCCATTTAACGATTGTGGGATCATTGACTTGAAATTAGCTGCAAAAATATGATTCAAAACAGTTTTAGGATATGAATAAAAATTTAAATGATAAAAATGTATTATTAATAAGGACAGCAAACGGATTCTTTTTTAGATGCTTTTACACTGAAAAAATGATGAAATTTCATTATAAGAAATATTAAAGTTGTGTTCAAAGCAATAAATCAAACATTACTTGTATCTAAAGTTATGTTTTTCAGTGTAAAAGCATCCAAAAAAGAATCCGTTTGCTGTCCTTAATTATTAATAGAGATAGGACTTGATGAGTCATTTAATATTCAGACTCATAAAAGTAGTGAATCAGTCAAAGGGTAACAAAAAATCCTCTATTCAATTAATGTTTCACATTTATAAAATAGTTGCGATAATCATTATTATATTTTTAAAAATTGCATATTACAGACAAAACTGCACTAAAGTCCTATCCATAATTATTAATAGATAATTATAATTATAACCATATAATAAAAATTTTATTTATTACTCATTTGAATATTAATTTTTGCATTTTATTAAGTGAATCATATCAAAATTAATATTTTAATAATTTATTATGAATATTTTAATAAGATCGTTGAATGTATTAGATTGTTTAATAATTATTTTAATTGTAAATTATATATTATGTGGTATAATATTAATATTGACATATCATCATAGCATATAAAGTTTATCATGATTAATTTATGTTTCAGCAAACGGTTGGCCTACAGTTCGGTTAGGAAATTATACTTTTAATGGATATGTTTCCCAAATATCAACACAAAGTCTTAATAACACACAAACAAATGCAACAACTTCTATAACTATATTCAAGGTAATTATCTGGTCAATTATAAGTCATCATAATAAAAATAAACATATTTAGGGCATACCATACGCTACACCTCCAGTGGGAGGCTTACGATTCCGACGTACAGTCCGTATAAGTTATTCGCAAATTAAAACTATAAACGCAATTAAATTTTCATTGAGTTGTCCGCAAACATCAAATTTAAATGTGACGCCAACAACAATAAGCGAAGATTGTCTGTATTTAAACATATGGACGCCAACACTACATACATCGGCCAATTTGCCCGTCATGTTTTGGATATTTGGAGGCGGCTTTACTACCGGGTCTTTCACTGAATATGATGGCCAACAGTCGGTCATAAGAGATGTTGTTGTGGTCACTATTAACTACAGGTTAGATGTGTTTGGTTTTATGTGTACCGATAGGCCGGACGCTCCCGGAAATGCCGGTCTCTGGGATCAGGCGATGGCAATGAATTGGACGCAACAATATATCACACATTTTGGCTTTAATCCCAATGATATTACAATATTTGGTGAGAGCGCCGGTGCTATATCTGTTAGCGCTCACATATTGTCTAATGTGTCAAATGGTTATTTTAAAAAGTCTATTATACAATCTGGTAAGATTTTAATAAGGTATAATTAATAATAGTATTTCTGATTTACACAATTATTTATTACAAATATTTGTATCAGGAACAATTTTAACAGGTGTTAATAACTCTCGATCAAGCACTACAGCAGTAGCCAAAAGGTTTGCCGGTTTTCTGGGCTGCAATACACACACCGATTATATCGCATGTCTTCGCACAAAGTCTGTCGAAGAGTTATTAAACGCACAGAATATAGACATTGTGTGGAATAAGGGAAAAGTCACTGATATCTCAGTTTTAACACAATTATATCCGTTTATATTATGTTATGGCGACCAGTATTTACCCCTAAATCCTTACCAACTTCTAAAACAACACAATTTCCGCCACGACATGAATGTACTGATGGGACACAACATTATCGAAGCGGCCATTTTAGGTCCTGTTTTAAATTTAGTTATACCCTATTGGGGTCAATACGATCCTACCATTCCATTCGCTGTAACGGATAAAGAAATTGCTAAAACAGATTTATTAACAATATTTGAAAATAAACCATACAATAAGACTTTGGCACAAATATATACGCAAACATTTAGCAATTGGTATAATATTAGTCAAACCAATGGTTTGCGGGCGACTGTAGTTCAAGCCATTTCAGATTACGAGTTTGTGTGTCCGACGGTATTATATGGACAATATTTAGCTAAATATTCAAATTTCTCGGTTAATGTACACCAATATTACTTGCAATACGCCAACAGTCAATCTCCTTGTTATAACAGCACGTGGTGTTATGGAGCCCAACATGAAGATGATGTCCCGCTGGTATTTGGTCAACCTTTTTACGAGTCTAATTATACTAAAACTGATAGATATATGAGCTCTCTTATGATGAATATATGGACAACATTTGCAAAAACTGGGTATTTATTGTTTTTAATAATTGTGAAAAAATTGCTAATATTAGTTTAATTATTAGTATTTACATTCACACATTTACAATATATTGATATTTACATTCAAATATTTTGCAGTACTGTTCCGCCGGTGAATAACAGAAAATGGTTGCCATACACGCCATTAAATGATGGCTGTGTTAGTATTAATTATATGCTATTGACATCTAATTTGCAACAATTGGGAAAAGTATTTATGAATAAATATATGGAAAATAATGGCTTTAATCCACCGGTTATTCAAAATTGTAAAAACTTTTGGAATCCTTTAATTATTAATTCTTTTAATTCTAATTATAATTAGCCAATAGAATTACTTTATGTTTATTACAATATAATTAGTCGTAACCTTTGTGTTAAACATATATATGGGTTTGTTGTGCGTAAGTTATTTAGTAGTACACACCTGAATATGGCGAGTTGATTAATTTAGCGGTTTTCAAAATACTTGTAACTCGTTAATTTGCATCATATTGTTTTCGGGCTTATTTTACATTTACTAAAATTACAAATATGTAAAAACCACGGAACACACTGTACAAGCATTAAATTATTTAATAATTAAATTAAATACTGTAATAATTAAATAAATTTACAGTTTAATATTAGAAATAAAATAAAATAACTTGCTTATGGACTCTCTGCGCAACCTCAACAAACATACTTTTACACCATGTGAGCACATAAGAATTAATACTCTTATTTGCTCTTATCAATTAGCGATATTATAACCAGAATAATATACAATGTATATTTTAATTGACAATATAAAGTTAGTTTAATATATTTGACATTAGTAATTAAATGTGAAATAATTAACCGTTTATTAAAAGCAATCAAAATTATTAAACTTATTTTAAAATAATTAAAAATTTAGAAATAAATTTTAAATAATATTTAAATTTTATTAAAGAAAAATTATTACCGTTAATTAATTAATTGCAAACCAAAATTTCATGATTAATACAATCGGGCAGTTCAGCACCATGGTAACCGTAGAAAAACCGGTAATCAATTTTGCCCACAAGTTTAGCCCCGTGTGTATCGCACCGACCGATGTATGTGTCAGTGTTTGGTTGACCCTTATTGCCGGCCACGAGAGCACCGGTAGGCACCGGGTCTTCCCCGTGTCGGGGAACCCACTCCACATCGTTGGCCACCAATACCTCAAACTCGTCGCTGCCTTTAAGTGCGATCTCAACGCCACCCCACGTAAGGACACAACCGACCACTTTATCAGCTCTGCCTGCGATCAGATCGTCGTTATGTTTGTGTCGACATATAGTGAGCGGTGTTTTGTCGATATCATAACCGGCTATATATGCGTTGCCCGGGATTGCAGTCTGACTCGCATTAACCCAACTGTGCGTACATTTGGCTGCAAAATATAAATTAGATAAATATTTTAATACAATATGGTCATAAATAAATTGTTTACTAAATTGCTTAAATTAAATAATGCAGCAAAATAATATTTAACTATTTATAATAGTTACCATTATTAAATTATTAACTCGCCAATTAATAATATGAGGATACAATTTGATATTATACTGTATTTTATATTATTTATCATAATTAAAAAATAATTTTATAATAAAATACTACATTTGGTTATACACGTAAAATTACATTCTGTAAAAATTATATTTAATTATTAAAAGCATTAAATAGTAGTAGTAATTATATCTTTTAATTTTGTTTAATTACAATTATAACATAATACCTTTAACATAGTTACCTTCTTTATAATAATTAAGAGTACTTATAAGAATAGCATCACTACTACTTGAATTACTATGAAAAACTGTATTAACTATTTAAATGTCTCATATTATTATTGAAAACTTTTATAAAAACTAGATTTGGTTCTTAAAGATCAGTGGATGTTGTTTAATGTTTTGTTGACAAATATAACAAATTATTTAAAATATTAAAATAAGAATTAAAAATTATATATTGAATTTATTTTACAAATTGAAATATAATAATAATTTTAAGTTATAAAACATAATGGACATAAAAGTTATAATGTACATCTTACCTTCTCTATGATAATTGGGATTAATTGTGATAATATAAGTGCGGATCTGTTGTGGCGTTAATTTAACGATCATATCATTGCCATCACTGCCTCCACCGCTTATATCAAATGATTTTGTCGAGTGTTTTGAGCGCCACTCCAGACGTTTGGTCTCCGATAGCAACTGATTGGCCGCTAAATTCATTTCAACCACTTTTTCAATACTTAGAGTTTTCAACACTTTTTGCAAATTAAATTCAACCGGTTTTGAGAGCTCGTGATTGTCGGCCGTCTCATATATGTGCTCAAAACGAACCAACACTTCCCGCTCTGACCACTGCTCTAATGTCAACAAATGTACGCTTTCTGGCAGAGAGTCGCCGATCGCCGTAAAACGGGTCGCGAATTTTTGCGAATAGTCCGCAACTGTCGAGTATCTGTCAAACGCTACGATCGGTCCCATAAACAGACTTTCGGATAGACTTCGCGTTAGTTTTGGTGAGTCGGCGATGGACTGGAAAAACAGGTAGTGTATGCCCCGGACCTCAAGTCCCTTACCGTCTACTCCCGGTTCGTCGATTAGAAACCAGCCACCAGTACCATGGTAAGCTAATCGTCGGTGAACCATCAGCTCTAACTCACCATTCAATAGCGATGAACCGCCCTGTGTCCGATCGTTGAGCACGGTCATTTGTAGGCCTTTAAATAATTTTTATTGGTTATGTTTCTATTTATATTTTTTTGTAAAAACTGTAATTTACTACAAATGATTAAATATTATAATACGATTGTTTGACAAATATTGTATTTTGGGATGAATTGTCCCGGAAGTTTTAAATCACAATACAATAATATAAAATTACTTATTTTAATATTGATGTATTGGGTAGTTCACTATGTAATCATAGTCGAGTAATGAAAATTTAAAATCATTTTTTAATTATGAAGCAACCTATTATTTTGAATTATGTAATAGCCGATTGAATTGACAAATATTGGGCATCAATCGTACAAAGTTTCATTTATTTAACCGTTTACTGTATTTATAAATGTTAGCGATCTTAATGTTAATTCTACGGAGTTTTAGACACAGATAATGGCTTATAATTGGAAAGTAATTGATTTGAAACAGTAATATACCGGCGGTATAGTAGACATAAGCCGTAAACATGAGTACCGCCGGCACCACAAACACCGCAAACTGTAGGACCGACCGGGCGTTCATAGCCAGGGGTACACCGGCTACGAGTNCTTAATGTTAATTCTACGGAGTTTTAGACACAGATAATGGCTTATAATTGGAAAGTAATTGATTTGAAACAGTAATATACCGGCGGTATAGTAGACATAAGCCGTAAACATGAGTACCGCCGGCACCACAAACACCGCAAACTGTAGGACCGACCGGGCGTTCATAGCCAGGGGTACACCGGCTACGAGTACTGATACAGGGAAAGCCGATTTTACTACACTCTTAGCAATGAATCTATGAATATTGGCTCTACGGACCAAACTGTATACATCGTGAGTGGTCTGTAGGCCTACAGCAATAGGCGCCGCCGCACCCGATAGTAGTAAAAATGGTCGTAAATAAGTGGGCTTGATGTTTTTATACTTATACCAAAAATGTAATAGCTGAGATAGTACGTTGGTAAAACCATAGATAATAGCACCGATACTAACTAGATGTCGGACACCCAAAAAATGCACAAAATTCCCAGTCATTATATTGAAATCGTGGTCATCCGAGTCAATGATTAGGTCCAAGGTAAGCTTGACAATATACCCTGTTACTATTACAAAAATAAGCAAGGGCGTGTGGGTCTTGGACCTGATTGTGTATCCGTTAAATGTAAATAATGAAAGTACGTGTGTGTATAGATCGGTGCCAATAGTTTTGATAACATATTTGTCCGGTAAGGGTTTATTTAGTTGAATAACATCCTCGTTGGTTTTAATAGCCATGTTTAACTAGTTAATAACTAAATTCTTATTATTACAGCGCCTTAAATATGACCATAAATAATATATATATAATTTTGTT